GAAGATAGCATCATATTTGCATATGTGGATAAAAAGAACTGTATAACATAAAAGGTTTCTTCTACATTAGAAAGATGAAACCTGATCAGAACAATTCCTTTGAAATCATTTCTACAAGTGTTCTGCTAGTATAGACAAAGTCTTGAGCAAGCACCACCCTTATACAGAAGGGGTAGTGCCATCTTCAGTTGAGCAGGAATTGAAATTACCATTCTAAAGTAACTAAGCTTCCTCAAAACATTATATGCAGAGAGGAAGGCACATGGCACATGGCTGGAAGGGAAAGGTAAGAGGGCACAAGGCCAACCTGGAAGACTGCCATGGTGGTTCACACCTTTTAATCCCAGTGCTAATGAGGTTAGAGGTAGACAGACCTCTGTGAGTTCCAGGTCAGCATGATCTACATATTGAGCTCCTGGACAGCCAGGGTTCCACAAGGAGACCCTGTCTCAGAACAAATGAACACAAAGCCAACCTAGACACTGATTTCCATGCCAGTTTGGGCTACCGAAGGAGATCTTATCTCACAAAACAGACAAAAAAGCCAGGTAGAGTGGCACATGCTTATAACATGGATCGTACAGACAGGAGAATCAGGAACTCAAAGTCATTCTATGCTGCATATTAAAGTTGAAGTCCATCTGGGCTACATAGTATTTGTTGTTCTAGTTGTGTTTTGGGAGATGGTCCCGTACTATAGCCCAGGCTGACATTGAACTAGAAATAGAGAGGAAGTTCTCAAGACTCAAGTCTCCAGAATTTTGGATTGAGGATACAAGCACCTCACCTGGCTTGATCCAGCAATATCACTAAAAACTGAAAGAACTTGAGTAGATATTATTCAAAATAGCCCAAAGACATAAAGCAATGTAAATGTCCACTGAGGATGGATAAACAAAGCAGTATGGCAGGCTGCAGTAGTGAACACCTGGTCTCAGCTACTTAGGGAATGAGGCAAGAGGCTTATTTGAACCCAGGAATTTAATGGTATAGTGAATATGGCCCCAAATTCAATCCCCAGTGCACATGTGTATGTACACACACACACACAGAGAGAGAGAGAGAGAGAGAGAGATGCAGGGGGAAGAGGGGGTAATACAGAATTCCATTATCTATGAAATACAAACTAGTTAAACTCATGGAGGTAGACAATAGAATGGTTGTTGACAGAGGCTTAGGGAGGAATGAGGAGTTGCTATTTGATACCCAGTGATAGTTTCCCTTTCAGAAGAAAGAAGTTCACAGGAAAGCAGATAGTGTACAGCCATGTGAAAGTGCCTAGTACTGTGGTCTATACATTTAAAATGGTTAAAATGTCCTCTAATCTGATTCTAGTTTAATAAATAAAATAGTAAATTTGTGTGGTATGCTTCTTTGAAATGAGGTCTCACTGTATAGACCTGACTGACCTGGATGTATATTTTACCATAGTAATAAAAAAATAAAACAACTGAGAAAAAATAAACCCATTGTGGCGAAACATCAATAAAAGTGGTAAAGTGACCAGCATGCTTTGCTGTCTAGAGCCCAGATGATTTCCCTAATAAGCCAGGCCTTCAGTACAAAGTGGGTAGACACAGGCCATCCCCATGACACTGAGCACCCACACTAAGCAGCTAAGGCTGAGTCCTACTCTATGAGGTCTTTTGGTCACAGAAGTTAATAGACTCCTCCTTCGCTGAAACAGAACAAACACAAGCTTTGCCTTCCAGTCTCCAGAGAAAGCATCAAGATTGATATAAGCAGTTGTACTTCTAAAAGAGAAGTAAAGTGGTCCGAACGAGTGGTGTCTTTTTCATTCCCAGCATTAATATGGTGGTTCTACAATGGGAAACTACAAGCAGCAATTAAAAAATAGTCAATATAAATTTCTGTTGATACCAATAGAGTAACTATATAGTTTAACACCTGGAATACATAAAACCTCAACAAAAGATTACTTTCCCCTCTGTTCCCCTCCTCCTCCCTCCACTCCCCTTCCCTTCTCTCCTTTCCCCTCTTTCTACCCTCCCCTTCTGTTAGTAACCAGCCTCTGTAGCCTGGTCAGCCTCCCCATGGACTGTGAGGATGTTTTTGGCCTGCAGCCTACAGCTAGCTCCTCCCTCAGGCCCCAGCTGTTTCTCTGTTCTATTCATTCTTGGTTTCTAGCAATATCCTGCCTATATTTAGAAGCAATACCAGTATCAACTGCGGGATCAACAGGTGCTTGGAGAGCACTTGAGCCCTGAGCACTTTTCAATTGTTTTCCTGAGATAATTAGTTCTGGCTCTGCAACTGGCTGTCTTGACATCTAACTTGTGAGTGCCATGCACTGCACTGCACACTACTTCAACTAGACTAAACAGAAGAGATAAGTGTGATCACAAGACAAATCTTAGTGAGATGGTTTTAGCACTAAAACTTTAAAACCAAAGGAGCAATAAACTGTTCCAAAATTCTACAGATGGAATTACTCTACCATCATTTGCTGTAGTCAGAGATGGTGATACACGAAACATCTGGGAGGTTAAGGCAAAAAGATTTAGGAGAACCTGGGCTATATCACAAGACCATATCCAAAAAACAGGATTGAAGGAGTTGGAAAGCAAGAAGGAAAACAAATTACTATTGCCATATCAGACTCAAGTTTCAACCAGTTCACACTGTTTTACAACAGTCATGATAGGAGTAGAGGAGTTTGAGAGATGGCTCAACAGTTAGGAGCTCTTCCAAGAATTGGACTCCCACATCAGGAAGCTCATAGCTGCCTTTAACTCCAGCTTCAGAAGATCTGACACCCTCTTCTGGCCTCCAGCAAACATACTACATGCGCTTACACACACAGGTCTTTTTTTTTTTTTTTTTTTTAAGGATAAGGGTGGATACACCAGTTCATTCCTGCAATTCCAACAATTGGGAGACTAAGGTAAAAGGATCCACAAAGACCCAATCGAGTGAAACCCTATAAAAGTACCATGTAGCCAGGCATGATTGTGTCATTTGCCTGTAATCCCAGAACTTTGGAGCCTGAGACAGATTCAGTTATTATGAATTACAGACCAGCTTTCCATATAAACTGTTACCTCAAAAAGGAAAAAAAAAAAAAAAACAAAAACAAAAAAACAAAATTAACAATTTACAGACCTGTCAAATGCCTCTAGTGGCTAAGAACATGTATTGTTCTAGCAGAAGATCAGAGTTCAATTCCCAGTACCCACTTCAGGAGGCTCAAAACTGACTCTATCTCCAGTTCCAGGGTATCCAACCCCCTCTTCTGACCTCTGGAGGCACTGCACTCACATGCCACACACACTGACTCATAATTTAAAATAATAAAGAAGATTTTTTTTTTCAAGACAGGGTTTCTCTGTGTAACTGCCCTGGCTGTCCTGGAATTCACTCTGCAGACCAGGCTGGCCTTGAACTCACAGGGATCCACCTGCCCTGCTTCCAGAGTGCTGAGACTAAAGGCATGAACCACCACTGCCACATCAAAAGGATTCTTAAAAGTATAATTAGATGATGATTTGTGGGTATTTATAAGATATTCTAATGCTGCCTGCTACCAGAAATATTGATGAAAAATATAAACCGGTGAATGCCCAGAAATTTTAGTTTAGATGAGTCAGCAAAATGTTAGCACGTTACAAATGAAAAGTTTAAAACAGAGACATCTATGAATATGTAATGATAACAGCTTCAAAATCAATGTTCTTAGAGCCAGTGCTATATCAGATTCAGTCTGGAAATAAAGTATGAAGAAAATACAAATCTACCATAGTGGCTCACACCTGTAATCCCAGTACTTGGTTGAGTCTGAGGCAAAAGACTACCACTTCAAGAACCACTGGGTTACACAGTTGGTTCCAAGCCAGTCTGGGCCCCAAAGGGAGGGGGGGAATAGGAGGGGTACAAATTCCACAACCCAGAAATACTTTTTCACAGTATTCCCAAATCATCTTGACTCAAACTGGAAGGTACTGAGGCAGCTTGATCATTAGGAATTAGCATCACTGAACAATTTCTCAAAACAAAAACACAATTCTCTTCCCCAAACACAAAGCCATAATTAGATGGTCTGTGAACATTTCTCAGTGGGAAACTGAAATTCTAACAAAGGACAAACAATTTAATTTTTATCGAAGCTATTCACTACGTTCCAGTCCAAACACCTTGAACTCTGCAGTATTACTGATCTCACTCCTAGCAAGATATTTCTAGTAATGTGTCCTCTCCTGCTTCAGTAAATACAGAGAAATTATGTACAGTACAGCAGACTTGCTGAGCTGACTGAGAATAACTACTACAGCTTTTCCTTACAATAATAAAATGGACTACAATTAGTAATAAAATTTTTGAAAGACTGTCTTGCATATCTCAGCAAGGGGCCAAGTCTAATACTAACCCACTTTCTAAAAAAGAAAAAAAAAATCCAATCATCCTGGATGAATTAAGAGACGACTACCCCTCTAGTGCACCTATGCTGCGATGTACTTTAATTCAACACCAAACTCGTATTTTTTTGCCTTCTCTAGTCCGTTTTCCTCTCGAATTCTCAAATTGTCCTTCTGCCCTTAAGTCCCATGACCGCACTTGCGTCCTAAGGACCTCTGACACTCAAGCAGAAGAAAACAGAAGAAAGCAGAAGACTTCATACATGCCCCAACACTGTACTTCACGTTGAGAATGACCCATTAATTCATTCTTTTCCATCACGCACGTAGTTTCCTAAACCCACTACCCCACACACACTCACGCCAGGGTCCCCCTCACTCCATTGTTTCTCCGGCCTATCCTTTGGAAACTCCCCAAGTCGGACCCGTGTGCTTCGCTCGGCCCAAGAACCCCACAAACCCTGACTCTCTGAACACTGCAGGTCTCAAAGGGCCCCCGGGCCCCTCCTCTCGGTACCCCAACCCCCAACAACTGCCCCTTCCCTCTTTTCCCTACCTCGAGCCCCCCCCCCTCCACCTCTGGCCCCTCTCGCCCCCCTCCACTTCCCCCAACACCCTCAGCCTCACCTAGCCCGGGCTCCCTGCAGTCGCCGCGTCCCCCAGTTCCGGGCTCTGCGTCCCGGACGCTCCTGGGTCTGGGATGAGGAAAAGAAGAGCCTCCGCCTCCTCCTCGTCCTCGTCCTCGGGAGCCGCCGCCGTCGCTGCCGCGCTCCTCCCCGAGCTCGCCCAAGGCCCGCCGCCGCCCCGCCCCCACCGCCGCCGCCTTCCCCGCTTCCCTCAGTCCGCCGGGCGGCGGGCAGAGACTCGCAGGCGCGGCTGGGGCTGGAGTGCCCGCGGATCCACAGCGACCCTCACCCGCACTCGCGCCGCTCGCCCCGCTCGCCCCGCCTCGGAGCCCGCGCGTGCGCGTGTGCGCGCGCCCAGCCAGCCAGAGCGCAGGAGCGCGTGCTCGTGGCCTGCGCGACGCCGCTGCGCCGCGCGCGAAAAGGTGGTGGCCGAGGGGCGCGCAACGGGGCACCGTAGAGGGGACCCGAGCGGGGACCGGAGCTGAGGAGGCCCCGCTTCGCGCGAGGGCGCGCGGCCGGCCGTGGACGCTGGGCCGGTCGGGTTACCGCTCCTCCCAGGCGCTCCTCCTTCGCGCCGGGTTCGCGCGCCCGGATTTGCGGGAGACCCGGGATTACTGAGGAGGGGTTAAAGGAGCGGGTTAGGGGACGAACGTGAAAGAAACGGCGAGATGGGTGGGGCGCGTCCTCGCGTCCGCGTGTGGGACAGCCCAAAGGCTGGATGGATGAAGCGGCTGGGCTAGGATAGCGCGCCCAGAAGTGAAGAGCCGAGCGGGAACTGGCGGAAAGAGCCGAAACTCTCCGGAGGTGGCCGAAGGTGCCCAAAGGGGATCCTATCGCTTTTTTGCTCCTGGTCCCCAAGGGAGGTCGGTCCTCTCTGGCTGTGTACAATTAAACCGTTCGCGACCTCGCTTTTTAACTTTGACCCCTTCTGGACCCACCTGCTCCTGAAGGTCATTCCAGAGAGCCCCAAGGCCACCCAACCTGGTGGGACAGGGTCAGGAGAGAGGATGTTCCGGCGAACAATTCACATCCCTCTACGTGGCAGTGCTTAGTACTGCCTGCTGTCGAATCTTTCCGTTAAGTACCTGCCTCTCGATATCTCCCACCTCTCCGGGCCAGAATCTCTAGCATTGATGTATCTTTTGAATTAGCGTCTTACACGGTTGCCTGGTCAACAGAGAGAGGCTAGAAAGGGCTCACTCGACCCACTTGCAAACTGAGGAACTTACTTTAAACATGAGATCTGTTTTGACAATTGTTTTTTTAAAATCTGGATTGTGTCTTTGTAGAAGATATTATAAACGGTGATGACGCACGCCTATAATCCCAGCAGAGGCAAGTGGATCTCTTGTGAGTTCGAGGCCAGCCTGGCCTACAGAGCTAGTTCTAGGACAGGCTCCAAAGCTACAGAGAAACCCTGCCTCAGGGGGGAAAAAAAAAAAAAAAAAAAAAAAACACTCATCCCAGTATCAGAAGGTTGGATACTCCTGGTAGAAACTGAGATTCAGACTAAATCACCACTGAAAATATTAATCGCAATCTGCCCTCATCTTTTCCCACCGCTGGACAGGAACCAAGTACAGGGGCTTTGAACAGGCAGAACTATCTGAAATTTATGCCTGTGCTTTTAGATGGGCACCACGGGCAGAACACAGTTTTGGTTTCCATATATTTATCACTCCAGTTCTAGGTCATATAATTGAGTGTACTACACTATGTGTCTGCCAAGTCATACATTTTTATCTGATCATTGTTCTTTTTGCTTTGCATGGTTTTGTATTGTTGGGACAAGATCTGGCTATGAAGCTTCTGCTGACCTCCAACTCTGCATCCTCCAGCCTCAGGCTCCTGAGAACTAGGAGGTCTAAGGCCTATGACCATGCTGAATGGGCACTGGTGCCCTCCACCCCCTGGGCTTAAACATGCTAGGAACTGTTCTTTTTTAAGGTAATTTTGATATTTTAGACTGGTATGTTTTATATGTATGAGTGTCTTGCCTCCATGGATGTGTACCATATGCATTCCTGGTCCCAGCAGAAGTCAGAAGAGCATAGATCCTCAAGAATGGGGTTGTGAGCCACCATGTGGGTGCTAGAAATCAAGCTCAGGTCCTCTGCAAGAGCAACTGCTCCTAACTGTTCTGCCCTGGACACCCACTCTTATTTATATAAGAATATAAAAGGGGGAGCCAGGCATTGGTGACACATGCCTTTAATCCCAGCACTCAGGAGGCAGAGGCAGTTGGATCTCTGTGAGTTCAAGGCCAGCCTGATCTATAGAGCTAGTTCCAAAGCAATACAGAGAAACCCCATCTTGAAAAACAAAACAAAACAAAACAAAAAGAATATAAAGGGGGACTGGAGAGATGACTCAGTGGTTAAGAGCACTGGCTGCTCTTTTCAGAGGTCCTGAGTTCAATTCCCAGCACCACATGGTGGTTCACAGCTCTGTTTTCCAAAAAAAGGAATACAATGTACAGTGGCATACAGTATAACTCCAGCCCGCAGGAGGGCTGTGAGTTCTAACCTATCCAGGGATGCACACCAAGACACTGTTTAAAAAGAAACAAGTTGAGCCAGAAGTTGGTGGCATACACCTTTAGTCCCAGCACTCAGGAGGCACAGGCAGGTAGATTTCTGTGAGTCCAAGTCCAGCCTGGTCTACAGAGCTAGTTCCAGGACAGGCTCCAAAGCAATACAGAGAAACCCTGTCTCGAAAAACCAAAAACATAAAAAAATAAAAAGAAATAAGTTGCTGGGTGTAGTAACATGATCCTTTAATCTCAGCACTCAAGAGGCAAGTAGGTCTCTAAGAGTTCAAGTCCAGCCTGGTCTCCATAGTGAGTTCCAGGTGCCTAGTTTTATGCTCCTTAACTTTGTATGGGTAGGAGCTAAAAAGAAAAATCTAGAGCCACACCAGTTGTAATGAACATCTGTAATTCCAATACTCAAGGGGCTGAAGGTGGAAGAAGCTCAAGTTTCAGGCCAGCCTTTGACTATATAGTGGGTTCTAAACCAGCCTAAGATGAAGCACAGACTGAAGATATTGCTCAGTGGTTATATGCACACACTGTTCTTTCAGAACCTGAGTTCAGTTCCTAGCACCAGCACCAGATTACTCATAAACACCTGTAACTCCAGCTCTAGGGGTACCCTACACCCTGGCCTCTGTGGAGCACCTGCACTCCTGTGCATACGCACAGACACATAAACATAATTTTAAAAAATAATCAATTTAGCTGTGGTGGTGAATGCCTCTAGTCCCAGCACTTGAGGGGGTTGGGGGCAGTATGTGACTTCGAGACCAGCCTGATCTACAAAGGGAGTTCATGACAGCCAGTGCTACACCAAGAAACCCTGTCTCAAAAAAAAAATACATTAGTTAGTTAATTAATTAAAACAAAACAACAAAACTCTGAAGTACAATGAGCCCTGCTTAACACGTGCCCAATCTACTTCAAACATGTAATTTTCCAGATTTAAAAGGCAAATGGCAGGGCTCAGTTGGTAAAGTGCTTGCCATACAAGCATGCGGATCAGAACTGTCAATTCTTGGAACCCTTCTGAAGAAACACAACAAGAGCGGTGGCTTGGCCTTGTCATTTCAGCATTAGGAAAATACTGGGAATGGGGATGGGAGAATTCCTGAGGCCAACCTGCAAGCCAACCTAACCTCCTTGGCACATCCCAGGCCAGTTTTTGTCTCAACAAACAAAATATGAGCTAGGTTAGGTGCAGCAGCCCACACCTTTAATCCCAGCACTGAAGGAGCTGGTACATTTCTGTCATTTAAAGGCTGAGCTACATAGTGAGTGCCAGGCCTGCCAAGGCTACTCAGTGATACCCTGTCTATAATTTAAAAAAATATTGCCTACTTGGTATTTTTGCTTATAATGACAACTACCAATTTTTTCTTTAAGTTACATTGAAATGTCTTCATTTAATAGCAGCTGAAGGGCCATTTTCAATTAGAAAAAGTCATTTACATCTGTGCTAAACTTTATTTTGATGAGAAGTTGCACCAGATGAAGGGGAAAATTAGATGAGCATCGTTTTAAAATTAATGTATTTAAAATAAAGTACAGAGGAAAAGTATGTATATATGAGGCTTTGTTTTGAATGAAATCTTTCCCCCCAATCCTTAATGTGCTATAACTTTTAAAACCATACAAATAAGAGTGCTAAACTGGACTTAAAAGTAGGTGTGTAAATATTTTTAATCAGTGGTACTTAGAAAATAAAAGTATTAAAAAAAATTTTTTTGCCTATCCCCCTACTCCCTCCACATACACAGCAAAAGACTAGGTCCTGTGCCTACTTAAAAATCTAAGTCAGCTGGCCAGTGGTGGCACACACCTTTAATCAGAGGCAGGTGGATCTCCACTCAGGAGAGACAGATGGATCTCCAAATTCAGGATCAGCCTGGTCTACAGAGCAAGTTCCAGGACAGCTACAGCCACACAGAGAGAAACCCTGTCTCAAAAAAAAAAAAAAAAAAAAAAAAAAAGCTTGTGATGCACAGTAGCATGTGCAGGTAGGTACCCCAGCAATTTGGGACACTGTGTTTGAGGCCAGCCTAAGCTACTAGCAAGACCCTGTCCCAAAATAATAAATAAATCATGAGAATGATGTTTTGTCTTTCCTCTTTTTAAATTTTTTACTATTATTTTTTGGTTTTTCAAGACAGGATTTCTCTGTAGCTTTAGAGCCTGTCTTGGAACTCACTCTGCAGACCAGGCTGGCCTCAAATTTACAGAGATCCTCCTGCCTCTACCTCCCTAATGCTGGGAATAAAGGCATATACCACCACCAAATGGCTCTTATTTATTATTTTAAAAATACCATGCCCCTAGCCTAGTGGTGGTGGCAGACACTTTTAATTCCAACACTCAGGAGACAGAGACAGGCAGATCTCTTTGAATTCTAGGCCAGCCTGGTCTACAGAGTGAGTTCCAGAACAGACTCCAAAAGCTACAGAGAAACCCCGTCTTGAAAAATACAAAAAAAAAAAAAAAAAAAAAAAAAGGAAGGAAGGAAAAGAATACTTGAGAGACCAGTACAATTTACAATTCAGCGATTTAGACAAGAACACTGAAGGAATTCAAAGGAGAAAGATTAGTGAAGGTAGAATTAATCAGTGGAGGTATCATTTACAGATAAACCTTAAGCTAGGTCATAAAGGAAATGCAAAATTCAGACTATCAGGGAAGGGGAAGATATTATAAGAAATAGAATCAATATCAGCAAAGATAGGAACAGCGAAACAGTCAACACCCGAGGGAGACCTGGAGCTTGAAGGGTCTTACATGCCATGTGCTCCCCTCTGTTA